AGTACATGGCTGGATACTTTCTAGACAGGATACGTATTACGTATTTTTCTATTAGAGTTTACATTCAATATTATTCTCTATTAGTTTCTGATGTACAGCATACTGGTTAGAAAATCATGTACTTTATAGAGTGATCCCATTTTTAAAAAGGGTAATTTATAACAATAATGCTGATTGACTGGTATAGGATTGCTTCTGGGAAACAATTACAGAACAGGAATCATAAGCTGGCAAGGAGTTTTGCTGAAGATTAAGGCTCAAAAGTCAAAAAGGACAGGGCATTAAAATGTATCTAAATATCTTGGAGCCCTTTATAAAAACACTTTTGAAAGCCCACAAATTAATTTAGTCAGCTTGTATTGTATAAACTTTTATTTTACAAAATATATTTTCTTTTCCTCCCTGGAGGCAGTGAAAGATAAACTTGCAAAATGAGACCAGAAGGCTCTCCACAGAGCTCTGCATCACCTCCGTAGTGATTGTTCACTGATGAGGAAGTAATTGCGGCTCTGACTCTGGCTATGCAGCCCCAGGAGACGGAGAAATTACCCATACGGTTAACACAGATTTGAGAGTAAAACTTACATTTTGGAATTTAAAATTATGTTTTATGATTTAAAGCATATGTATCAGAGGAGCTTTGTAAATTTTGGTAATTTGCCTAATCTTCTCTTTATAGTACATAACTAAATGTAATTTTATTATGAAAAAAGATGTGTGTATGCAGTTGTAGGATATGTAATAGATGACACTCTTAACGAATCCAATCAACACACTTTGGCTCATAGAACAAGTTTATAATTCAGAGATATACAAGACAACCTCGTTGTGGGAGAAAGAATACTAGTATAGTAATCTGATAACTATATTTCTCTTCTGCTGTTACGAGCTGGTGTTCCCTCTCCCACCCCCGACCTATGGACAAATAGTTCAAACTAATTGACCTCTTTAGGTTCCAACCAGCTTTAAAGTAGTATGTTATATCAAATTAAAAATGATAAATTCTTCCTGTAGCAGGAATGACTACTACAATCTTTAAAATTTTCTGTACTCAAGAATACTTTTCCATTGAGTTCATCATTATTGTTTGAAGTGTGTTGATATTTTGCCTGAGCACAGAATGGAAATTACACAAATTAGTTACAAAAAAAATGAAACACATGGAGACATATGCACTAACCAACAGTATGTACATCAGGTATTTTTGTTTAGTGGTGACTAAAGCCGAATTTTTTAAAGGGGTTAAAAATTATTATGTATTTTGCTCTTTAATAAGAAATGATGGATTCAAGCATGAATGTATATGAATTTTGTGAAGCTGTTTGAACTTTTGACATATTTAAAATTTATAGACTGTTTCAATGCTAATACCTTCCACACAAAAACACCAGAAAGCTGAGAAGCAGTGAAATTAATTAAAAGAAAAATCAGCAAAATCTATTACAACTGTGTTCCCCTAAGTCTTTTATAATACAGAGATGTAATGATTACTTGCTTTTCCACCTGATTTCTTTTGATTTGAGCACTCAAGATTCATCCTGTACAGTAACTCTGAGGTCATGTATGAATTCCAGAGTTTTGGTTAATTAAACTTATTTACTAACCATCAATTGAGGAAAATAGTACACTATACAAAATAGTACTTTAAAATTTTTGACACCAAAACTTTCGATTTTTGAACTAAGAGCAGCGTGATCGGCAAAGAGCTGTGACAATCTGGCCCTGAATTCCTTTTGCTTTGCTCCTAGGAAAGTTTTGCTAGGTAAGAATGTCAAGGTCAGGAGCACCGTGAGCTCTGATACACTTCAGAAATGGACACAGAGCCTGACGGGCAGGCTGCCAGCGCCAAGCGCTGTGAAAGCACAAAGCGCAGCTTGCACTGTGCTGGAGAGGGACCGTATGGGGAGGGTTGAGAGACACACTTCAGAGTTGAGCTGAATGTTCTGGTCAGGGAAAGGTCAGAATCTGGGCAAGTGCAGGAACAGCAGGGCCATGCCAACTCAGATGCCAAACATCAGGGCCATTCCAACTGGTGAATTCCATTTGTTTTTAATTATCAGTCTACCAAAGGGACTTTTGTTTCTTGTAAATAAGGATGACAAACAAATTAAGCTCTAGCAGGTGCAACAAGCTTATTTTATCCCGAGCTAAAACTGTCCTAGCTAAGAAGGAACCTGCCAAACAGATCTGGTAACAAAAAGAGAAAGGTACTTTATTCTTCTTCCATATTAAAACATCAAGCTGTGGGTTATAAATAAAGAGATGTACAAAAAAATGCCATTGTTGTAGCAAATGATTTCTATTTTAGAATGATTGTTAAGGCAGTTACTGATGATTGCATTGTTTTGATGAAAGAAATTTTAAAACTTAGTATTTGAGCCCAGTCTTGCCAAAGTTTGAAGTTTCTGCCCAAGAAGATTTAGTGGCTGTCTGCTATTTTGAACAGCTCCCCTGGAGCACATGGGTCCAGCTGCTTCACGAAACAGTATTATGGTGCCATTTCTAAGGGGGATCATGAAATGCCAGCATACGAGATTGTGTCTGTAAATCAAAACCTAGACTGTGAGGAACCAGATTTTTCCACAGGGTAATAGGAAAGGGTCATTAATATGCTACTTTGAGTCTGAACCCAGTCCCCTTGCTCATCTGATTTCGTACTAATTCTCCTATTTACACCCACGCGCATGTCAACCAGAAAATCCTTTAGTGCTGAGGACAACCAGTTGTCCGAGGTGGGAGAAGTCTGGTCCTTCACAGAGGCAGAGGCACGGGTGAGGTGTCTTCCTGGGGGTCTTGCCAATCAGCATTCCAAAAGCACAGCTCGTTTCACTCAAACTCGGTTTCCCCTGGAGAACCTTGGGAAAGAGGCTTTGTTTTTGCCAAGATTTTATTTTGGTTTTCAGCTTAATTAATAGTAAACTAAAGAAACCAAAATAAGCCATTTGTGGCCATGTATGAATATGGATGTCCTCTTTGTTTTGTCAGATATTTATATTCAATTTAGTTACTCAGAAACACCTAAAAATTCACTGAATGTGGAAAGAAAAATATAATGTTTTATGGTTTATTTTTCTTCTGTTTCTCACTGAGTTTTTATTTTTTAAGACATTTTTAACACATAAAAAGTTTAAATGATTAAAGCAAAGAGTGCTTATAATCTATACTTCACCAATGAATAGTATTGCACTAGAAAATAAAAATAACTTTTCTTGTAATATTTTAGAATTTCACTTATGCAATAACATCAACTAAGAGACCACTATATGACAGGTGCCATATTATGAGCCACAGATGCAAAAATAAAATAATACAGTGTAGTTCTTAAAGAGGTTTCTCTTACTGTGTAGTCAGATATGTGAACAATTACAATATCATTATTTAATAGTTAAAATAGAGTTATGGCCATGGTATAATTGCTGTATGAAATAAGTGGAGATCAAAGAACATTTCATAGAGGTGAAGGCAGTTGAGCAAGGATGGAAAGGGTGCCTGGAAGAGGAAATATGGGAGTGATAATACTTGGTTAAAGGCAAGCAGGCTGAAATGCTTGGCATTAACAGGGCACATTGTTTGTGGAATTCTAAGAGTTTTGTTGTAGTGAAATGTAAAGTTCAGTGGGAAATTCGTGGTACATAATATTGAGTTGATTAACAAATTTCAGATCACTATAGCATAAAATATTTGTATATTTGATATAGCACCTATTATATGACAGATACCATGCTAAGCAATGAGGGAGATACTCTTTTAACTGGTCAATGGTATAAGCAGATTTTCATGTTGTTAATGTTACTCTAAGAGAGAAAAATCTAAATCTATACATTCAAGAGATTCGTCAGGACATTATTGTAATAATGTATGTAATAATAATATACCTAAGAAGGACATCCTACTTCAACTTTTGAAACTGTCCCTTTCCTCTTTCTCCTTCCCACTCCTTTATTAGGTTAATTTCTTGTCATCTTTCATATCCATAAATGTCACTTCTACCAAAGGGCCTCTCCATGCACACAGACTAGATTAGGTCTCATTGTGTACATTGACATGCCACTGGGAATATTTTCTGCATAGCAATTATACTAAATGCAATTAACTATCTTTGCGATTATTTGTCTAACATCCATCATCCATTAGCTTGTTGACAGCATGATGACAGGAATGGAGTTTGTCTTGTCTAGCAGGGTCTTTAGCACTTGGCAGGTGCTCTATCTATATTTCTGTGTAAATAAATGATAGGCAGAAAATGCAATATTGGATAAAAGAAGATGGGTAAGAGAAATACTAAACAGGTATGAAAGAGTTTGATAATTAAAAATAAGAAACAGAAAAGATAAATCCTAGATCAGTCACATGCTTAGCTTAGATTGTTGAAGGTACCAGTAATAAGACTTATGACTAAAACTTAAGACAATTTGTGGAGTAAGATTATGACTTAACTTGGGGCCTTGCTGCCTCAACTAACTGGTTCAAAGTTCATATTAAATTCAATTTTGTTTTCTTTGAAGGAATTGGGTGTCATCCTACTCTCATCTCACTATATTTTCGAAAACTGTTATTGTGAATTGTTTCTGTAGATGATTAATACATACTATTTAGGTCGACTGTACTTTGTTTCAGTTTCAGAAGTTTGTCTCCTGTATTTTGTTCTCATATTTTTGGCATTTCTCTAGTATTGAGTTAGTCTCCTTTGGCACCTGACATGGTAAATTTGTAAAATTTTCCATTTAATTAAGTTGAAGTTAAAGAGGTTTGGAAAAGCTGAAGTATATTCTCATCTTTGCCATCAGACCTGGTTTGGGTATAAGTTTGTGTTTGGATATTATATAAAAAATAGAAAAAGTCTTTAATTATCTTAACATTTAAACCTCTATCTAAAACTTCATGCCAGTTAAAGAAAGATTTTCAAAGGCAAAAAATAAGTTTTTGATATCAAAGACTGCCATGTAATCATCTCATCATTTATTCTGTTTACTTAAGAAGTATTGTCTGGTTCTTTCCAGTTACACACAGAGAAAAAGACAAAGTGAAAGAAAAAGAAAAAGAAAAAGAAAAACTTGAAAAGAAAGGTATGGCATTTTACTATTGCTGTTTTTAGACATTGGTCCCTTCTTGTTTGACCTCTCTTTCTTTACCTCTGATTGCAAATGATCATAAATTTATGCTTTTTAATTATATAATTTCCTTAGAATTGAATCAGAAAAGAATAATTTATGGGTTGAAGAAAATAAAATATTTAAGACTTGAACTCTGTTACCAATTTATTATCTAGAAAAGTTGTATCAGTTTTGCTTCTGTAGTTTTGAGGCTGCCTTAGCCAATAATGACAATGTTATTTGAGAAAATATTTACCAATTTGATATGTAAGACAGCATACTTCATATTTAACTTGCATCCTTTGATTACATATTAGACTAAATTTTAAACATTTTTATTTATTTGTTTAGAATACACAGTACAGATTCATTTTTCATTACATAGAGACACATCTTGAAAAGCTTCCTGCCTTGTTCCAACCTTCCAGGTTCCCATTCTCTCCTTCCTACACACGAACACAGTAAACCATTTTTACGAGTTTTATGTGTATCTTTCAGAGCTTCATTATAAATTTATAAGATAATATAGTGTATTCTTATTCCCTATTTTTTTACACAAAAACTAGTATGCCTTCCATTCTGGCTTTTATAATTTATCAATGTTTTCTAGAGAACTTCCAATATCAGTAAATAGATATTATCTTTTTTTTAAAAGCCTGCATTTAAATAGAGATTTTTCACTTTATTTTTTAACTGCTTGTTATCTGAAGATTTAAAGAATTAACTATGAGTCTTAATAATTTATATTTCTTGTGTAACTATTTACACTCATTACCATTTGCTTCTGATGATATGTGTGCATGTCATTGGGGTATATATCTTTGGTCTGTTACTTTTTCACATATTTTTCTGTTAGTTTTGTAGTTAATATAAGGGCTTCTGTTTCTGTGCATAGACATGCATGAGAGTGTGTGTGTGTGTGTGTGTTTATAGTCTTTCATTTTTATATGGCTAGATAGGTTAATATTTTCTTTAGTTTTTTTTCTGCTTTTAAATCTTCATCCAGACATTAAATCAATAACTACTAATATTTTCATTAAGTTTTAAAAATTAGTTTTATATTTCACATTTTACTTTAATTCATCCACAATTCATTTCAATATATGATGTGAAGTAAAATTGCCCTTTACTTTTTTGCTTTTGTTTTAGAGAAGATTATGTATTGTATATGTGGGCTAGATTTCAGATGATTTATGTATCCACAATATATATAACCTGCTGAGTTATATATATTGTTTTGTGAAGCATTCTAGTTAGCTAGAATGTTTTATGATATTTATGAATCAGATCAGTTGAAATATGCCTCAATCTTTATACTCACACTTGAAATTTGAATTACTTTATTAATGTTCAGTTATTAATAATATCCATGTGTTTCAATGCAACCATCTTTCCATCTTTTTTTCCTAGAAACAGGTGCCCATTTCCCATCTGCTATTGAGTATGCCTAATTATTAGAATCAGATTCTGTGTACTCTGACCAAATGAAATACTATTATATTTCTTCTGTTTTTTTCAACCTACCCAATGGCTAAATTATTTTTGTTGAAAGATATTTGTTGCCTTTTAATTATTGATGTTGCAAGAAAGTTTTCTAAATTGAAAATCAGCAACAAAATGCTCCGTTGTAAATGTTTTTTATGTCTTGTATACTAACTAAAGGAGTTTAGTTTTATGATATAAATAATTATATTACAGTCCCGTGACCTTGTGTGAATTGTGCCTGCTGAGCCTTGCATAATGCTCCTTCAGCTATTGCCCAAGTTATTACCCATAACTCCAAATGGTATTGGATATTGCTGCAGTGCAAGACGAGAGGCAGAGAGGCAGAAATCCTGGAGGGAAAGGCAATGCTACCTCGGTAGCTCAGCAGCTGCCAACATCACTTAGTTTTCAAATGGACATGTGCTTTATGCTCTGTATGTGATTTGCATCATCTCTACAAAATTCAGGGAAAACCATTCATAGACGATTATTTTTACTATAGTATATGCACTATCTCATTTGATTTAATTAAATTTATTGAGGTGACATTATATAACGAGATTATATAAGTTTCAAGTATACAGTTCTATAACACATCATCTGTATATTGCATTGTGTGCTTACCACCCAAAGTTTAGTCTCCTTCCATGATCATATATTTATCCCCTTCACTCTCTTGAACCTACAAATGCTCCTTCCCTTCTGGTAGCTGCCCTATTATTGTCTGCATCAATGAGATTTTTATGTAGTTTTTCTTTTTTGGCTTTGTTTCACTTTTTTTTTCTTTATTTTGTACCCCACAAATGAGTGAAATCATATGGTTCTTGTTCTTTTCCATCTGACGTATTATGTATCCAATCATGTAAGATCCATCCATGTTGTCACAAATGAAAGTATTTCATCTTCTCTTATGGCTGAATAGCATTACATAGTATATATATGTACCACATCTTCTTTATGCAATCATCTATCAAAGGATACTTGTGTTTGGCCACCATAAGTAATATTACAATTAACAGGGGTACATATATCTTTATGAAGAAATGTTTTCAAATTTTTTGAAGAGATACCTAAAAGAGGGATTGCTGAGTCATATGGTAGCTTTATTAATTTTTTGAGGAGCCACCATATTGTTTTCCATAGTGGCTGCACCAATTTACATTCCCATCAGCAGTACCTGGGGATTCTTTTTCTCCACATCCTCGACAACACTTGATATTTCTTGTCTTGTTAATAGCCTTTCTGACAGGTGTGAGGTGGTATCTCATTGTGATTTTGATTTGCATTGCCCTTATAGCTAGTGAAGTTGAGTATCTTTTCATCTATCTGTTGGCTACTTATATGTCTTCTTCTGAAAAGAGTCTGTCAGGTCCTCTGCCCATTTTTAAATTAGATTGTTTTCGTTGTTGTGTTCTTTTCATTTACATATTTCTGGTATTAGCCCCTTATCGGAGCTATTTATTGAGAATATAGACTTTATTTTAAAATAACAGTTTTTAAATGCATATTTTAAGCATATTTTTATAGTACAAGTAAAACTGATAGACATTACTCTTCTTATATTGTTGGAGAAGTGGAAAGAATTCGGGCTCAATTTTTAACTCTAATAATTAGGCTCTTTCCTTACTCTACCTATTTAATTAAATCTATAGTATCACTTAATTTTCTATGATTTATTTAATTCCCATTATTTTCTTCAATAAATAGTATGTAAATGCTGAGAAATGTATGGTGATTTGGGAAACTACCAAACCACACAGTTTTATATATTTGACTTACAAGGATAAGCTACCATGCTGTTGTACTTCTCAGGATGGTGTCACTTAAACTCAAAAAACAAAATTTTACCACTCTATGGAAGAGAAATTTAAGTTAATAAAATAAATCTATATTGATTTATTAATTTATTACATAGACAATGAGAGGTATAATACTTCAGGTATCACATTTAATATTCTTCAATTAAGAAGCTGCAGTTAGTAAGTCCTCATGATTACTTTACTTTTTTATTGGTGGTAGTCAACCAAAGCTGCTATCCCTAAATTTAGGAAATATTTGGAAACAGTTTTGGTTGTCAAGGTCTCATTGGAGTGGAGGGCATTTGGTAAGCAAGGACCAGAGAAGCTAAGCATTTTCCAATGCACAAGACAGTCCAATATAGTGAGATCTATTTAGTGGCATCCTTGTTGACAAATACTGTACTTAATCAAAGCTTTAGTCCTGATTTAAATATTTTTTTATTAATTCCAAAGACAGTACTTCTTCCTGATAAAATGATATATTTTTCAACAAATTCCTATAAAATTGTTCTCTCTGTTTGCCTTTCTTGAAAACTTTGTCTGAGATAATAACTTTAAAAAGGAGGAGGAGACTACTGTTCAAAATACTTTCTAAGTCTTAACGCAAGCTCTCTTTAAAATTGGACTCTATTCAGTTAGTATATAGGTAACTATTCCTGAATTAGGCTTGTTAATGTCATACATCTTTGAAATAGTTCATGATTTTGGGAGCTGTAAAACTGAGAGGAAAGTTGGTCTATAAATCTATTGAAAGTATGTACTAATATAGAATTTTCTGTTTAAGCAACTCACAAGGAAAAAATAGAGAAAAAAGAAAAACCAGAAACAAAGACAGTGGCAAAAGGTAAATTTTCACTTTATTATTTCTATAACTAAATTATTTTTTTGTTAAAATTTACATTTTGGATAACAGTGGGATGATTGCAACAATTCAGTGTTTCTTTTACATAAAAACTAATTTGGTCTTACATTTTAAATTTAATATTGAAAGATTAATAAAACTGAATATTTTTTTTAAAAAAGAGCACCTCAAAATATGAGAGAAAAACGAAGAGCTTTCCCATAGGTGGAGGCAGAATTTTGGCCCTCATGACTTTCATTCTTTGGTGTCACCCCAGTAGCTCTATTATATTTCATGGCAAAATGGAGTTTGCAGAAGTACTTAAGATTGATGTAAAATAGAGAGATTTTCCTGTATTATCCAGATAGGCTTAGTGTAATCTCATGAACATTTAAAAACATAAGGAAGGTGCAAAAAAAAAAAAAAAAGATTGAAAGTGTGAGAAGAACTTTCCCTTCATTGCTGGCTTGAAAATTGAGGAGGGCACATGGAAAGTATGAGAAAATTCTGCCAACACATTCTTCCCCAGAGCCTCTGGGGAGAAAGGCAGCCCTGTTGAAAACTTGATGTTAGCCTTGCAGAACCTAAATAGAGAATGCAGTTGAATGACATTGTGCCAAGACTTTTTGAAACATGGAAACCAAGAGATATTAAATAAAAGTTGTTTTAAGAAGGTGTTTTTGAAAATTTGTTACTATAGCAATAGGAAATTAGCACAATATATATGTTTTATAGTTTTTGACTAGTATTATACCTTGAGCTTGATTTGAGGAGATTTGAATTCATCATTTAATTTTTTCAAGAAAAAAAAGTAATACATCTTGATTATATTTTGACTATTTGAGACTCTCAAGTGTCTTAATGATAAACAAACAAACAAAAAATCAATTAGAATATCAGTGTAAAGTATTTTGGAGGATTGCATGTATTGGCTTTTACTATTCTAAATTTGTATACAAATTGTTAGAAAAATATGAAGTCTAACTGATAGTTCAATATCTATTAAATTTTAATTTCCTCTTTATATTTTAAAATATGTTTTGTGTAATCAGTACAGAGATCTCAATCCTGCATTTTTAAAGGACAAATAATTTAGATTAAAACTCAAATCTATTTTTAAAATTCAATGTGTTTATCTATACAGTGTCAAATAATTAGATATTTGAGGTAGATATAGGCAGATATATCTTCATTTTTCAATGAAATAACCAAGTATCATTTTATTCAAGTTTAGATGGATGAATTGCAAATTGACACTTTGTTTCCTAGAGGGTAACATTTAATCTCAAGTTGAAATTTATAACTAAATACATGATATTTTATTCTACTTAGTTCTCTTTTTTTGACAGAGTTGAATGAAAATAAATTTATATATATTTTATACATATGAGAAACTGACCTCCAGGGAGAGAGAACAATGTGGCCTTACCATGTAACTAGTATGTAACAGCACTAAGACAAAATCCAAATGTCCTAAGTGTAAATCAAGCATTCTTCCCTAGGGTCATTAAATAAATGATTCAATTATTTCTTTAATAAATATTTATTTAACACTATATTAGTTATTTATTGCTGTGAGGAAAAAATAGCGCATTTATAGGCTAATGTCAATACACATATATTATTTCACAGTTTCTGTGGCCCAAGAATCTGCTCATGGATTAGGTCAGTCCTCTACTTCCCAGTGCCTCACAGGATTGTAATCAGTGTGTTAGACAAGGCTGCAGTCCCAACTGAAGTCTCAACTGGGGAAGCATCATTTCCAGGTTCATTTACATAACTATTGACAGGATTCAGTTCTTCGAGGCCTGTTGAATGAAGAGGTCAGTTCTTTCTGGCTGTTGACTGGCAACCATTTTGAGTTTCTTGCCACAGGAGTCTCACTAACATGATAGCTGGCTTCAGCAAACCTAGCAAGAAGGAAACTGATAGCAAGAGAAAGGTAACAATCTTATGTAATCTAATCATGGAATTCACATATTATTGGTTAGTAGCAAATTTCATTATGGAATTCACATATTATTGGTTAGTAGCAAATTTCATTATGGAATTCACATATTATTGGTTAGTAGCCAGCCCATTTTCAAGAGTAAAGGATCATATGAACGTATAAATACAAAGTGAGGATCACTAGCGCCCTTTTGAGTCAGCCTGGTCTGCCGCAAATCACAAGTACGTTATTGACATACTTACATTCTTATGGAGTCATAGGTGTAAACAAACTATATATGCATATATATGTGTATATATGCATGTATATATTTCAACAGTTTCCTTAAAAGAAGAGATGGTGGCAGTAGTGATTTTTTTTTTAATTCAGAGAAACTAAGGCACAGAAAAATTAAATGGTAGTTCCTTAATGAAGAATTGGAATTTGTTATTTCCTAATTCCAAAAATATACAGTATGTTATTATGTTTACTAGGTAATATTGTTTCCCCACTTTAACAAAATAGTTTAATTCTGGTATGGTCACTTATGGGTAATGTTAATTCCAAAATTGAATCAAAATGCTGGTATCAGTCTTTTCCATTAGACCATTTTGTTTTTCATTTTGTTTTTCTTGATAAAGTCATAAATTAAATGTCTTTCTAAATAGAAAAGGATGATTTGAATATAACATAGTAATATTTTTTGTATTTTTGTCCCTTAATGACCTTTTAATTGCAAATAAAGTCTTTCTGAGAAAAATCTAGGAGAGTATTCTTGCACAAAATTTAAAAACACTGAACCAGTTTGATAAAACTAAATAAAAGCTGAGTGTTACTTTAGTTTCATTGTATTTTCTGCATTATATCAATCTCATTGTTGAATTCTCACCTATTTTTATTTCTAATGTGAAGCAAAATTATTTGTTTCAAAGGGGAAGAACACTAACAGATGTCTAAAATAGGTAGGGAATATTTTGTAATTTTAAAACCTAAAACCATTCATAAAAATGAGTTTGTATTAGATGTGGTTTTTGTCTTTAAGAAACTTATCTCTGCTTACTTATGAATTACAATAGCATTAACAGTAGATCTGAGTTTCACATATTTTTAATTCCATAGTATAAAAACAAGGTTAAATCAACTGCTACTTAAAAGGAGTGGGTAAATGTCATTTAGGATAATTACAGTAACTATTTTACACCCCCAAAAAATAAACAAAAAAATTGGCAAATTTTCCAACTTTTTTCAAGTTTATTTCTAAATACTTATTGCTTATGCAATCTATTCATTGTTTATTATACACATGATCTCAATGTAGTGAAACATTTACTGTTTTCTCTCCTTGATCAAAATTGCAAATTAAGTAAACCCTTATTATATATTTCCTCTTAAAAAAGCTCTGTGTTAGAATTATGATGCTACAAAAGTGAATAACGTAGTTCTTATCCTCAGTTGCCCTCAGTCTGGTAGGAAAGACAAATATGTAATCAACTATCTGTAATAAAAAATATATATAATAGGGGATAACATGTGTGTTTTAATAAAAGTTGAGGCAAATCAAAGCTCAGGTAAAGAAATTATTAATTCCAGTGGAAGATTCATTTGCATATGAATTGAACACAATGGAATTCACACATGGGGAAAACATGGAAAATAGAGACTGCTTCCTGGCAATGTTTTACATGTGGAAAATACATGAGATATGCAAGAAAAAGAAAGTGGTCTAGTGGAGGAAGAAACTTTTGAAAAGATGCGACAAGCACTACTTGGTGTGGCTCAGTGGACTGAGCGCCAACCTGCAAACTGAAGGGTCACCAGTTCGATTCCCAGTGTAGGGCACATGTCTGGGTTGCAGGCCAGGTCCCCAGCAGAGGGCGTGCAAAATACAAACACACTGATGTTTCTCTCCCTCTCTGTCTTCCTCTCTTCTCCTCTCTAAAATAAATAAATAAAATCTTTAAAGAAAGAAAAGATGATATGGGAAGAGAGATAAGATAGGCTCAGAAGTCACAGGGTTCTACATGCTTTACAGCACTTAGCTTCCCTCAGATAAGATTATCCTGTTGATCTTTAGAGCTCCAGAAACTAGCTCCAAGCCCAGATCATGATGGGCTCTCTGAGAGGGTTTCTTAGGTGAAGATATACTAAGTTTTATGTTTGAAGTTCTATTGGCTATGAGTAGAACTTTATCTTTAGAGAGAAACTAATGAATACTTAGTGTGGGGTTCTGGAATGACATTGACTTAAAGTAGTATGCAGAGAACAAATAGATAGTTTCAGCCACAGAAATGAGTCTATGATAGGAAAGAGCAGAAACTAGCAAAAGAGAATTAGACATGGTTTAACGGCAGAAGGAAAGAATCCTCAATTGAATACAATCACAGAAGCCGCAAAGACATTGGAAGTTTGTGGAGCAGTTGAGTGATTTTCATATGAGATTTTTATGCTCAAATGACTCTGAAAAAGAGTGCATAGCATAATTCCCTTCCTTGAAGATTCTCAATACAATTCAGATTGAGAAATCTATATTAAAGAAGCTGATTTAACTTAGTGATTTAAAATTTATTTGATCATAGGAATATTCCTCTACTCCTAACACAGTATCAACATCTCCCTAAAAAGTTTCTGAGGAGCAGAGTTGTGGGAGATGGTGGTCTAGTTAATAATACAAAGCACCACAGACAGTTCTGGTTTTGCAAGCATCAGGTATTATCAATGTCCTCTTCTCCTTAGTCTTCACTAGACCTCACAATATTATCTTGTCTTAGTTTCAAATTATTGCTTGGTGTACTAAAGTCAAGGTGCATGATTAAATATTTTCATCAAATTCTTCAACATGAGTGACAATAAAGGCTAAATATTACATTGATAAATAACATGAGAGGACATCATTGTAGTAGACTTATTTTGGTGTCTATTGATTATGTGTGATCCCTTAAAATAAATATGTTCACTATGCAGAATCTATTATAAACAATTTTCTACAAATGTGTGCTATATTATTATTGCTTTAAAAATAATTGATTCACATTCTTAGTTTCTTCCCTCCAAATACACATAATATCAAATTAAAATTTGGTTGTATAGAAAACATGTGCATATATATTATAATTCATAGATATTTATACCTATTTTTATTTCTAGTTCATTCTGTTTACTAAGATACATTTAAGTGCTTTAAAAGTCATTAGAGTTATTATTTCTGACAAGATTAGCAGGAGTTAATATGTCAATTCCTGCTCTCTTTTTGTCCTTCAAAGTCATCATTAGAAACCAAATGTCTGAGTCATCATTTAAAGGATTTTATCATTTCATTCCCATTAGCCATCACCAGTGCAAGTAATTTTACATTTGCACTCTTAATAGTTATTGCTTAAAAATACTGTATTAACAGTTCAGTTTCTCGAATGACATTTAAGATATTCGGTCATGGAAAAAAATGATTCTATCCATTTAACAGGTCTCTTTTATTGTATCTTTCTTTGATTTGAGAATTACTTTTCATTGAACATGCCTGTATATACATCCCCTGTATATTTGAAATGCCTCCTTACTGACATACTAAGTTCCTAGCTACTTAAAACAAATGTTTTTATGTACAAATTAGGAAAGAGTCCAACATTTTCTTCTTCCTTTTTTTTCTAGTTCTCTAACATGGTACTTTATAAACTAATAAAAGTCAGATAACAGGATTTGTGTCAAGTATTTATCTCATAGGTACTATTTTTCTATCATTTTTCTTTTTCTTTTAAAATTGTTTTAAACAACCAGAAAAAGATGAAATGTTGTTCTTATAAATAAACAGAAATAATTCAATTTTTCCTAAACCTATGTAGAAGAGAAGAAACCCAAGACTAAGGAAAAGACAGAAGAAAAGACTAAAAAGGAACTGAAAGGTGGGAAACAGGAGAAAGTGAAGCAAACTGCAAAAGTGAAAGAAGTACAGAAAATACCACCTAAACCCAAAGCAAAGGATGAGAAAGATGAGAAAGCTGTGTCCAAGCATGAACAGAAAGGTAAACACTCAGGCGAAGCGGCCGGAGGTTCTAAGAGAATGTTGGGCAAGAAGCAGATACAGTGAAATTAAAATCTGAACAAGACTGAAATCAGACATCAAAAGGGAGAAAAAGACTTGTATAAGTAAATACACCTGAAAAGAAATACAATAAATTGGGAATTAAAATTTATTCATAGAACTCCCAAATGTGTCCACATATTTAAAGATGCACTTTGAAGTATTTTTAAAAGAGGATTTGAGTTAACCTTTGGAGTTATTTAAAGATTGGTAATAAATCTTGAATTCTTGAAATATGGGATTTCTAGTAAGATGTGGGACAAAAGCTGTACGTGTCTATGCTTTGGAGAGAAGTAGTTCAGGAAAAACAGTCATTCTCAAGGAGTGTTTTAAGGGGTATATGTTTATATAGAGAGAGAATAAATATTATAGAAAGTATCCATACATTCCTGGTGCTTCTGCAAGAGCACATAATTTAGAATATACATCAAATTATTAAATTCAGTTAATTTAATAGGCAGGAAGGTGTAGAAAGAACCCTCAAGTTTCTTTGCCAGATTCTATGACTACATACATGTATGACTTTAGAACTCTTTTTATCTGGCATATTGTGTTGGTCTTCAGCAAGAGTGATGTCAGACTTACATCCCAACTGACAGAAATAGAGCATTTACATGGAGGTGAAATATAAACCCAAAAATGTTCTTTGGAACGGTGCTATGTAAACATAAAAGGGTAGAGTTGTAAGAGAGCAGCTGAGGGCCTTACTGTCTCACATTTGTGTTCCTCATTGACTCTTTCCTTCCCTAAATCCATTCCTGGCTCCAGCTTCTACACAATCCCGAGGCTCCCCAAACAGAATGTGGAATCTATTCTCTAGGGACTATTTCTACACAGGTTTATTAGGGGTAGTGCAAAGTAACATTTTTCTTTACTCTGGAACTTTTGAATAATTTTATTTGAGGACTAAAATTAAGAAACGGTTTCTAGGATATTTTCGTTAACGTATTTTACAACTTACTGAGTAAGCTATTTGAACAGTGACAGTGAAAATAATTTTTCAAATTATAAGCTGTAAGATATAAATTGGCAATCCACACATTTTTTCCTAGATTCCAAATAAAAATGAGATATATGGTATTTGTTTTTGCAACCCATTCTTGCATTTATTTTTGGATGACTTTACCCTTGAATTAATAAGCAATATTTGTAAACATTTATTTATAAATTGAATAAAAAGAAAAGCATTTTAAAAGAGAATAGAAAGAAGGGAAAAAGAAAGTTAAAACCTAAAAAATAATTTTTTTAGGTATTCACACAATTTTTAATTTAGGTAATTTTTATTTATTTCCATGTAATTTTTAAAGATGTAAATGGAGTTCAAACTTTGGATCCCCAAGCCCTTCTTCAATTTTAATGATAATATTTTTTAAAATATTAATTATTGCCTCTCTTAAAACTATATGTTACTTATGAAATAATTTGAGTAGAAAAAATACATAGTAAATAAAGAGAAAATATTTTGAATGGATGATTTTACTGTGATAAAAATAGAAAAATTAATCTTCTGGTTCATTAATATGCTAATTAAAATGATTATCAATTCTTAAATTAGTTGGCACTTTAGATTGTCTTTTAAAAATGAAAATAATCACATGAAACCAAATGAAAAATACAAAGTATTGAGTTAAGAACTAACTAGAAATGTGAATACATTTTTTGATGTGCATTTTTAGCAATATATTTGGGATTTGGGGAGACATATATTACCAATGGAGACACATCACTAGAACATTTTCAAATAATACTTATTTTCCTGGTCATATATATTTTATTTTATTTCTATCAGTAATAAAGATTATTAAAAATAACATTATACATTACCATTTTTGCTTTTAATCTACTGTTTTTATTTCCACATGAAGAGCTACTTATCTATTAAAAGAAGATTCAAATTTTACTTAAAGTTAGAAACAAAAGCACAAATGTGATTTTTATCAGCTAAGCAAATGCATTTGCTAAATTAAAGCTTCTCATTGAGAACTGCTACCATCAACTAAATAAATGTGTCATTAGGTAAGTAATCAAAAATTTAACATCTAATACCTGCTCAGACACATTAAGCAAAGATGTAAGAGCATTTATTTGTAAAATCTAATCACATTATGATTTTAACTAAACAGATTGAGGCAGTGTTTTTTAAATAAACTGTTTATGAGGTGGCTTTGATTTTGAAACTATTGTACTGATGATTCAATAAAATTGTTGAGTTGGTTCTCTTTTGGGCAAAGGAATACTTATTTCCTTAGCTTAAATTAAGCCTAATGATTTTGAGGTATTCTTTTCATATAGATTTATAAGTAGATTTTTTGAATAAATAGGTCCTATAAGTCTTTTACTTACTGGAAAGAGATTTTTACATGGAGAACACACACTTACTGGCAATTATAGGTTTGCAGTTATAATACAAATAAGTAATAAGTAATTAATAATAATACAAGACTAAACTCTGTGTTTCATATACTCACAATTGTAAAACTACTTTTGCCTTCCCCTGTATAGTGTAAATGCAAATATATTCACGTGTGGTTATCCTTAGTATTATATCTATAAACAATATATTTCTATTTAAAGCATTGGGAATAAGATTTTTAAGTATGTGCATGCCTATCATAAACGTATACACACAATTATATATCATGTCATCTAGGTTTTATAAAACAATATTAATCTGTTTAAAGTAGAGTAAGAGGGGTTGACATGATCAAGCATTGTTCCCTAGTTTTCTCATGGTCTGTGGCAAATCAGTGGGGAAGGCAATATGAACCTCCCCACTGCTACGCTCAATCTTTTCCTTCCTTCTTCTTTTCCTTTCTTCTTCCCTCCCTCCCTTCCCTTTCTTTCCCTTGTTCCTCCCTCCCTCCCTTTTTCCTTCCTTCCCTGCCTCCCTCCCTCCCTTTCTTCCTCATTTTGTAACAACTATCTAAATATTTGTGTCAGGAAGAGAAATATAGCTAATGTGAATCCTTTTAGAGCACTGACCACATGTGCCCAGTCCTCATTAGTTTTTAAAAATTTCCTTCCTGCTGGCATTCTGCACCCAGAATGCATTTTTTCTCAGCTGCCACTCCACAGGGAACACTACTGACAAGGCAGCAGCTGAATGACATTCATCATTGTTCCCTGAGAATCAAGAAGGGGAGAAATGGACAGTGTGCGTTATCCTTAGAAGGATATTCATTTGAGAAAAAAAATAGTAAGAAATGGTGATCAAATATGAAATTACCTTATGTGAATTATTATTGCCTAACTTTGAAGGTAGAATAATAGAACAGCTCATATTTTCTGAAAGCAAAATATTCTATTTCAATATTGGAGTTATGTTTAAAAATATTTTTATGAATCTTTCAAAGTTGGAAAAGATTGATTTTACTCTATGCCAAGACAAGTGAAGCAGATACACTGAGGACTACCCAAAATATAATTGCCTATAATTTTTATATATTGTTAAGTTCAATCCAAAGGACAGGTGGAAGTAAGCATCCTAATTTAAAATATTGAAAATATCTAATTTAAAATATTTTTAAAAATGTGTTTCTCATCTTCCTATTGATATGCTGGCAGCATTAGAATTCAGAATCATAACATCATTTAAATATAACAGAAATCACCTATTGTCGTAACTCAATATTCTAGATTAAAAAAATAAACATTAGAATTCATGAGGGATTTCCTTTTTAAAATTGGAAGCTCATAGGACTATTGGTGTATTAGTTAAATGAATGGCATTTGGATCCATAAAATTTTTGTTAGAATTAATATAAACACTTTACTTTGGTAGTAATTTAATATATAAGCTATTTTCATTACACTGCCAACATTCGGCAAAACAAAAAACATAAAGATTTTATCTATTTCAATATAGTATTCCACATGTTATAAACATTCTTTCACAACTTGGGACAGAGAACACTATTTCATTTATGAGGGTTGTGCAAACCCTTCACATTCTAAATAGTCCCTGCATCCTAAGCTTCTCCCACGCACATTCTCCACTGCGGCTGCCAAAGTCCATAGTACCACTAGGAATCACTGCGGGAAAAAAATCATAAAACTTAAGGGATTTTATACCAGTGATTCTGGAAGTGTGGTCTAATTAGACTCTTCCAAGAAGTTTGTTAGAAATGTATATTCCTTGGGTCTACACCCATGGCTTTATAAAGTTTTTTGAGTGATGGAGCCAGGAAATTTACATTTGAACACATTCTCCATCTTTATTTATTTATATATATACATATATATATATATATGTATATGACCTTTTTTATTGTGTTTTTTCTTTATCATTTTCCCCCTTATGTCCCTTCCCTGCGACATTGTCCACGTCCATGAGTCCTTTTTCCTTTTTGCTCGATCCCTCCCCGCTCCAAGTACCCCCCACCCAGAGCTGTCGGCCTGCTTCTGAACTGCGGGAAGAACAAACCTAAAAATAATCCAGTCACTTACACCGCTGAAACAAATGGAAAAGTGACCATTTCTGGACACCCACACTTGTTCAACCTCAAATTTACTATTTAAGGGAAATAAACTTTTTCTTTAGCTTTAACTCGGAGCCAAATTGCCCGTTGTAGAATTTTGCTGAGGAAAAGAGTTATGTCCAGAAAAGATAAATACTCCTTACCTTAATCATATTTCCCTTCTGCACCTTAGGGTTTCCAGGTCCTGAGGTCAGGAACCTCTGCTATTATTCTCAGTAAGTCCAGGAGCAAAGAGATCCCTGGACTGAAATCACAACCAGTCTCCCTCCCATTTCACATCTCACACGTGGGAAAATGTACTCCAATCCAACAGTCAAAATACAAATATTTGAAACCTAATGAGTTTTGGCCTACTCATATTTAGGTATTAACAAAAAGAATTATATTTTACATCCACTTCAATAACTGCATTTAGTTTTTTCAAAGATTTAGCAGAGGTTCATAATAAAATAAAATACTCAAAAAATACTGTTAGTACTCTAAAAAGTGAGATTTATAAAAATTCATGTATGGGTATTTATATAGTAACAAGGTTTATTATTTCATGTGCTATACATAACTTGGAGCTCTTAAGGGTGTATCATGTTGTATATATTCAATAAACTCTCTTGGTCCTAAAGCTGCCTTTGGATTTGTTGAATAAATAAAATGCCTGTTTGGAAACATTAAATGCAAATCATCTTAAACAAGATTCACTTCATAATATGTAAACTTTAAAGAAGATATGGTAAAATATAGAATGATTCATTGACTGAGATTTGGGTTGGAATGACCTCATTAAAATATAAAGTTATGTGAGAATTTACAGTTCAGTACAATGTATTTAATTTAGAGGAAAAAGAAAACAAACTCACTTCTAAAATAATTTTAACCAAGTCTGTTCCAAATTCTCAAATCCTATGCCTTTCTCTTTCTTACTACTTCCATAGGCCATGGACTATTCAAGGTCATAGATGCTCTTGTAATAAAGATTATTAAATTAATTAGCTTAACAGTGATATTTTTTGGTACTGTAACCAATAGCATCTGTACCAAATAATATCATTACTAAATGAAGAGCATTTGCATGCTGGGGACCTGTAACAGATTGCAAAATGGTTAGTCCTCCTGCTTGCCTTTTCTAGAAAACATTTTGCTGCTCCATTTAGACAGTTAACAGAAGGGCTGGGAGTGAATATTTGATAAAACATTCCAAGTTGGAAACAATTTCCTCTTGTAAAACTTCTGCTTCATTTTTGAGGGTACGGACAATGATGAGAAAAATTGCTTTAATATGATTGCTTTTATAATATATTTGGTGAAAAAGGTTTTGATTTTTAAAAAACAACCACTATAATATTACCCTAAACTAGTCTGCTTCAATTTTTAAGATTATTCTTTTTGTATAAAATAAATGGAACCTTATGTTTATTATGTTTCTTTATCCCCCAGCATGTTCATAGGAGTGCAAATTATTCCTACACAGAATTGTAGCAACCAAAATAGAATTGTGCTATTTTGTTTGTTTTGTTAAGTCAGTTTTCCCTGGGAAAAAAGAAAGGTGTTAATGACATTTTTTCATTGTTCTTTTTCTTTCTACTCTTGTCAGATCAGTATGCATTCTGTCGATATATGATTGACATGTTTGTCCATGGGGATTTAAAACCAGGTATTCCAAACAATTCTTGTACCTGTCTGTTTCAATAGTCTTTGTTTCTAAGATTGTCAGCTTTTTTATGTACTAAACTGTATTTTCTTTTTTAAAAATACTGCATAATGCATGTTTAGACCTAGAATAAAATCAATAAAATGAAGTAATAACTCATATTAGGGCTTTTAAGTTTACTTCCTAGTACTGCATGGCCTATTACCAATGAAGTGAGCTGAAAGCTAAAAAAGTGCTAACATCTTCATGCACAAAAATGCTAATATCTTTAATAATATCTTGGAGTGAATCGTCTTGTTTTATTCCTGGTAAACTTAGAAGAAAAGACCTAAGACAATGAAACTATCCATATTTATTTAATAGTGAACAAAATTCATATTAAAATTCACCACGTTTAAATACTTGATCTTTTTTTTTCAAAACTGATTTTCTCACATATGTATAAACTTGGGTTAGTCGCTTCAGAGACTACTGCTGATGAAAATAGTCATCCTTGGAGTTAATGGTCAATGCAGTGAAGAAGTATATTTTTACTTAAAGAAAGTTGTTTATCATCTCTTCTATCTTTGTTACTCAGAGTATAACAAAGAATTCTTTATTAACATCTTATTTAAGAATGAGTAATTTATTGCTTGTGCTATGTCTTTAAAAAATTCTCTTGAATTTATTGGAGTGACTGGTTAATAAAATTATATAATTTTCAGGTGTACAATTCTATAACACATTTTCTGTATATTGTATTATGTGTTAACCACCCCAGGTCAAAGTAGACTTGGCTTGTGCTATGCTTGTTGCAAATTTAAAATTTGATGATACCATGGAAATATTTCTAAGAAGTTGATATTGTTAAGGAAAGAGCTAATTGACATTAGCATAATTGAAGGAGATTGTTTAAAGAAAATTTTGTTTCTCAAGTATTTTTATGGAAAACTTCATAAAATGTATTGTTATAATTTATGCATATATTGACAAATAGGCACATCATATCTAGAACAAATATATAACACATCTAGGCCCTAGAAGATTATAAGATCATGAGGACTTTGACTCTCAGGAAAAATTATTTAGTTCCAGTAACTTATTCAAGTTTATTTCTTCTTTCTGCTCCTCTTCTTCATTTTCTTATTCTTATTCTTTTTTTTCACTTCCCTAATGAGTTAGAAACTGAAATGAGAAGCAAAACACTGAAAAATGTGATAACCCACTCAGTAAAAATGATTACTGTTAACATACATGCATAGTATTATAATAAAATTAGATGGAAACATTGGAAGGTAGTTTAGTGTAATGAAAATAGAGGACTTTGGACACAAATACGGACATAATTCTTGACACCTTCCTTTTTTAACATTGAACCTTGAGCAAATCATTGAACTCTACCTGACTTCCAGGGTTCATCATTTTAAATTGGGATCATAGTAACGACCTTGCAGAATTGTTGACAAAGCATCTAACAGATGCACAACAAAATACTACTGTAACTATATTTTTTTATTCATTCATTTCAACACTGTCTGTCCAAGTGAGTATCTCACATACAGGAAAACTCAACCTTGACAAATGCCAGTCAATATACACTATTAATTCGATTTTAGATAATACCTTTGCTGCCCAATTTGTTCAGCTGTGATAGTTTAAGAAAGCTATGTTCTACACATATTTTGCTTTTATAAGATCAATAAACTGTTTACTTACATACAAGATGAATCTGTATTGTTAATCATGAATATTTAAATTCCATTATCTGAGGAAAAAGCGTGTTCTTGTGCTATCTCAGTTTTTTATAGTAGGTATTAATTGATCATAAAGTACAATATCTAAGAAAATCACAGGACACAAAGACCATACATGGTCAAAGTCAGTAAGAAATGCTAGCAGCTTAATAGTCATAATGTTAATCATTTCTTTATGAAAATTTAACAACACATTATGGTCACAAAGAACAGTAAAACCATCTCTGTGAAAGTTAAGGGGAATTTTTCTATAAACAATTCAGGGAGAGCCCTTCTGAAGTCATATGTGAACATTATCCAAACAGCCATGAATTCAGATCTACAGCACTATGTTAATACCCTAACTCCCGAAAATAACTATAAAGTGTCATAGGATTGGATTTCCTAATACCATTCATTGACTTTACAATTGCCTTCTTAATTTATTTCACCTACCTTCATTTATGCTTTTTAAGGTTTGTTGCTATAATATATGATAAGTTAAAGAATATGTAGATTAGGAATTTTTTTGTGTGGGCTGGGAATGTGGAAAGGAAGAACCTGGATAAGGGAAACCTGTATTACCAGTATGGTAAGCCTCTTGTTTCATGTAACAGATAATGTAAAGCTTCATTAATGTAGAGAAGGAAAATTAATAACATTATCTTTGTTGGTGAGATAATACATGAGATAGAGTGAGAAAGCATAAAATTTTGAAAAATGAGAAATGAGAAACAAGATCTAATCTGGGCACATTAATTGGAGAAAGCACAAGCGATAAGACCCTGACTCTGACTGACAATTAGAGAATAACACAATTCCTGCCAAGTTTATTGCTATGCACATATCCAGTATTTATAAAACATTTGTGCTTCCATCTGTTTCTGTTTGAGATTCATGGAACACCTGTTATTGTTTAGCTGAAGTTTATGACTAATTATTGGTAATGAGTTTTTAAAACTATAATTTGACTTTTCCCTCGGGGATATAGTATTACCTTTGCATAATATTGTTGCCACCCTCAAAAGTAATCCAAATTACAGTTCAAATTTGAAAACCCTTATTAATGAAATATGCTGATACCATGACATAAGCCCCCTGTCCCACCGTTTTATCTCATTAAATTGAATACTTCTAAGATAATCTTTACTTTTTTTTAAAGCTAAGATTTTGTCTGTATACCTGCAGGTGAACCAAATTGCTCTTTTTGATTCTCAGTAGTAACAATCTGCACCTCCGTTACAGGGATTATTTTACTAAACCAGCAAAAGTATAAGGATTTGATTTTTTTGTTGTATCTAAAATTCTACTGTACTGACTCACTCTATATTAAGTTGAAAAAATAAGAGAAAACTACTTAAATCTAGAAATGAGTGTATGCTATTAAGGCTGGTTTTATGGCAATTGGGATAGATATATATCTAAAATGTATACATTTTAGGGGTTTTATGGACACTGAAGAGCTCCTCTCTCCAGAAGTACTTTCTCTGCTAACTTTTAATAACTTAACCTTTCCATTAGATTTCTCGATTGTTCAGGGGTGTCTAACCTGTGGCCTGTGGGCTGCATGCTGCTCAGGATAGCTACGAATGCAGCCCAACACAAAATTGTAAATTTACTTAAAACATTATGAGATCTTCTGTGATTGTGTGTCACAATGTATTTAATGTGTGGACCAAGACAACTCTTCTTCCAGTATGACCAAGAGAAGCCAAAAGGTTGGACACCCCTGGTCGATGGTTAATGTTATAGCATGAGTTTGTTTCAAATAGCCCCCAACCTGACTTGAGGAGGAGAGGGGGAAGAAGAACTAGGGAGAACAAGAGACACAGAGAGAAAGAGAGAGAGAATCTTGTCCTCTTTTGATTGTGTCTTGAAGCTGGTAACTCCCACTTTTACTTGAGGCCTAATATAGTCTAGTCGTCACTATCTTATGAGAGAACTGTTAAAACTGGTCAAGGTAGACATTTGTTGCAATACTGAGACTCAATTTACAGTGTTTTGTATGTGTGTGTGTTCTAAATTTCTTTTGGTTTTTAGAAATGATAATACAGATAGTCTAGATATATTCTTTTAGATTTACCTTTGTCAACTCTCCATTTTTTTTAATACTTGCATCTATGCATTTTTTCTTAAGTGACAGCTACACTAACAGGTGTTTTTTTGTTGTTGTTGTTGTTTGTTTTTTTTTTAGGGTAGGGTCTTTAAAAAGAAAATCATGATCTTGCTAGGCATTTTCATATTTCCTTTTCATCAGTTTCTACCTGGGCCAAATGAATTGCATGCATTGCTCAGAAGATTCAACCAAATAAACACATATCTCAAACTGAAAATCACATGGCTCACAGGTTTCTTTATACTTACTATATATAAATAAATTAATTTAAATTTCTAGTACAAGGCCCAAGGCTAATGCTTTGGCTTAGTAATTGTAACACTTTTCTTTTTCAGCTTTTTATCTCTGTAGCCATTATAATTAAAGTTCAATAAAAGTTAAAGTTTATTCCTTAGAAGTTATCCAACCATTGAAATTCCAGCTACTATCTCACTTTACTTAAGCCAAGATTAATGTCAAGGCAATTTATTCCACTTTGTGTGTGTGTGTGTGTGTGTGTGTGTGTGTGTGTGTGTGTGTGTGTGTGTTTTAATTAAAGCTGTTCATCTATCAAAATTTTATCTATCATAAGGTATTTTTTTGCAGCCTGTGTTCCAAATCTATGGACTTTAAATCCATAGCTAGAAAGAGCCTCAAGGAATTAGTACCCTTGTTTTACTGAGATCCTTTTTTAAACTTCAGTGGTGTTTAACTGCAGTTTTTGGTTAGATCCTGCTGAGAGGAGGTCAATTGTAATTCTATTATATTTATTCTTATTTAATGGTTTAATCTAATGTATTTCAGAGGTCAACCATGTGTATTGGAGAAAACTAAGTAGGATTCAGCCTTACTTTCCACTCCTCTAAAAAATACTGCTTCATAAAAAATATAATTGCTGTAGTTCCAAGCATCCAATTTTTTTTCACCAAACAAAGACTTGGAAATTTTCATGTATACTCAATAGTATTTGTTAAATTCCCTAGGCAAGCTGATAGTTCAGGAAAAAAAGGTAAGGTGGCATAAATAATTTTGTAACTAAAGGATAACTTGATAAGTATGAGAAAGAGGCTCAGAAAATATGCATGCTAATCTCAGTATATTAGTAATAGATAGTTACATCCAGTAACCACGTGGACCTCTTAATGGTTTTTCAAATATTTTAAATCATTTAAAACACTGTGACAGAATCAAGGATA